CTTCAGGTGATTTTCCATCTACTGGGACCTCCTGTGGAACAGGAATGGCCTGGGCAAGGATTTGTCCCTCAGCCAGGTAATATGGCGGTAGAGGACATCGTGCCAGGAGAATGAGGCCAGTTATGCTTCCCTTGATGGTCATGGGAACCACCTCAATCTCTAGGGGTGTGTGTGCTGTGTCCCCGACAACACTGTCCAGTTTCATGTGGTTTAATGTCACGTCCTGTGTACTGTTAGGTAAGTCCACTGTTATGACTGTCCAATCAGGTGACCTGAAATGAAAACCTCTGGTAGTCACAAGCCTAAAACGGCCTAGTGGCTTCCAAACCTTGTTAATTGAACATTTGATATTTTCATTGCCATACATCCCCACACCCTCTATCCCATCCTCCCCCTTTTTGTTTATTAAGAGAGAGTCTTTTGCGAGTGTGGAGCCCGCTGCATTTATAGCCGAGCGCGCTATGGTGTTAATGGCGGGTACGCGCTGTAAAGTTAGTTTTTTTGTTTGTTGATCTTCTTCTGTTTCTGGTTGTGTGGACAGTCCCTGGCGAAGTGTCCTGGCTGCTTGCACTGGAAGCAGATGATGTGCTGCATTTGCTCTGGTGACATTGGTTGCTTCTTGGCTTCTGGTGTCACAGCTGCCGTGGTCTTTGGGTGTGCCAGTCCTGGATTTCTTTCGTGTCCACTGAACAGTTCTGCTTTTCTGGCACAGGCTTCTATCATCTGTGCTAAGCTAGGTGCTGGCTCCAGGGGAAGGCCAAGGATAACCTTACGGCAGGTTTCATTAGCATTCCTCTGAGCCATCTCTTTAATTAATTCAGCTTGTAATACTGGATTAGACACTTGTCTTTCTACTTGCATACGAAGGCGGTCCACAAACTGTAAGAAATTCTCAGAAGTAAACTGTTTAATGTTAATATAACTGCCTTTAGTATCTACTGTTGGTAATTGATTAAAGGCTTTTTCTGCAGCATTGCATATTTTATCTAGGACAGACTTAGATAGTACTCTGGTTTGGCTTTCAGGGCAATGCCAATCTTTTTCCCCACATAGGTGTTCATATGTCATATCATTATTATCAGCATCTTTTGCATTATCTGAGCTTTTTAAAAGCTCTTGTAAAAGCACTTTTAAAGATCTTTTCCA